ACATCCGTCCTGGGGTCGAGGCAGCAGCGCTGCCTGGGCCCGTGGCTCTTGAGGGGCTCAGGGTGGGTGTGGAGGATGCGAAGAAGCAGGGGTTGAGGGTGGGGAGGCGTGAGGAGGTTGGGGTACCCGGGCTGGGGCTGAGGTGGCACCGTGGGTGCCCCAGGGTGACGGTGCCAGGCTGGGGCAGCAAGAACGGCAGAGAAACCGGCCCCAGAGACCTGCCTGGGTCATAGTTTTTATCTTTCCTGAAAGGGCTGAGGGCTGCAGCTCAGGATCGCTGATGGTACCTCCAGAGACAACGTGCTGGGATCAAGGAGTGAAGCCAATGGCCTGAGGAGGTTCAGAGCCTGCCCCAGAGCGGGGAGGTGGGCAGGCTGGGGCAGCATCACCCACAGGGTGCCCAGCAGGTGCCCAGCTCTGCCCTGCCCAGCGGGAGCAGCACCCGTCGTGGTAGCACCTGCTGCCTCTCGCCTGTCCTTGGCTGCCAGTCGCCCAGTCCCGGGTGCCTGGCATGTGAGGTGGCTGGAAGAGCTCTGTCCTAGGCCGTGGTTTAACTATGAGGCATCAAAACAAGAAATACTATTATGGTTTTTTTGTACAGTACCAGTGTATCACAAACTGTGTTAAAAGAAGGACTTGAAAATTAGAGGCCTAAGCCTTGCTCCCCTTCAATGACTCTATTAAGGCAACTTGTTTACCCAGAACATGTTTTATTACTGGCTTACTCCCTCAGAAAATAAAACTTTCTAGTAAAATCTAGGGTCATTATCCTGTCCTTTTGGTGCAATTCTTTCTCTAGGAAGGCTGAATTTGTGGTTACTGCTAATGAGTGATTCATCTACAGCTCTTCATTACACAAACCATGTGTCTTCTCAAGTTAGTGAAGAATAGTCAGTTGTCTGATCTGTCGTTACAAAAAGTTGTTTAATATGTTGAGAAATTATTTCTTTGAATCTGGTTTCTCTTGTGGCACTTGGCCAGTTGCCTTCATGTAGCTGAAGTTAACTAGTTAATCTAGTAACTCTGTAATTAGATTTAGTTATCTGATTGGTATTCCCTGCCATTATGCCTACAACATCCTTTTCCTGCTCTGGAAGCCTGAGATACAATCCTACCAGCATAACAGGGTGAGGAATTTACGCCCACTCAGATTCCTCTTTGTTAATAACATTTCTCTCTTTAGATGCTGGGAAATGATTTAATTCTTACCTACTGCCACTATTCTACCTAACGAAACAGCCATATCACCAGAAAAGCTTTATTTGGGCTTTTTAAGATATTCAGGGTTTACTGACAGAGTGAAAGCATTAAGGGGAAAGTCCATAATTCAATGTCTAAATCAGCTGGGGTAGGTGTCTTGCCTATTTTCTCCAGAAGCAATAATCTTAACAAGATAGACACAGACAAGGAAAGTAATAGGTTTTGAAATTGTTCTCTTACTGTTTATATTCCAGTTATGTTTTCTTTTATGGAAGCTCTAGCAGTGCATTGTTAGAAGGGATATAAATGAATAGATGGGCGGGTGGAATGTTTAAGGAATGCTGTGAGGCATGCTGAAGATAGGAGCCCAGAAGACAGAGGCTGGAAATTTTCAGAAAATGAGGAATGCAGCTTGCTAGATACGAGGGGAAGTTGGGCCTTTAGGGAGGTTATGCAAGGCTGATCATTCCCCGCCATCTGAACACTTTTCCTGGATTGCATTCCTTCACGTTACGAGCTGTGGTTACACAACTGAAAGCCCAGTAGTTTATCTCGTTTCAGGCAATATTACCATGGAAATTAATGAGAACTGTTGGTTGCTGATCCTTTATTATTAATAACTAACTTAAAGTACAGTTGCCTGGGAGCATATGCTGATGCATACAAGGAAAGATTCAAAGTGCCCTTGGCCCTTTCTGTAATTCAGTACGAGCCCCTGGAATTTCAGCAGGCAGGAACTTGCTCTGGTTTCTTTTGTTTGCATCCCAGAGAGTGAATAAAAGTCAAGTGATCCTGGCTTCTTACTGTCCAGCAGCTTCCCAGCTTTTGTGCTAAAGAGAGGAGATTGTTGGGAGTTTTTAACAAGAGAGAACATGTTCATTCAAGATCTTGCTGCTAAGCTGTGCATTTATTAAAAGTACATGAAAGAGGAATGAGATTTTGAGTTCAGAAAGACTGAAGTTCTTCAAGAGCCAGCTGAGCTGGTTGAATTTTTTTATGTAACCCTGGCTATGTTAAAATAAATCCCTGCTTCCTAAACCTTTCTAACAATGAGAAAGGTCCAAAGTGATAACATTTCCAGCAAAAATAAGCATGATGACTGACAAACAGGTAATAGGACAGAGTTGTGCCCTGGGGACATATGATTCTGGTTTACACACAGTTGTTACTAAAAGCATTATAGGTATTTAAGTAGGTGTCATGATTTTCCCTTTCCCTTGTCAGTTTAGGGAGCCAGTGTGGGGTGCTGCTGGGGATGAGGTGGTCTGAATTCCTCCACTCCTTTGTTTTTAATACCAAAGTAACTGTGTCACCCAAGCCGAATCCTCCAGACACATACCTGAATGTGCTCATCTCTAATAGCTGTACTTATTTTTAAAAGCTCCTTGTATAGCCCATACTGGGGAAATGATGCACAGAAGAAGTCCTTCCATGGGTCTCTGGAGATTCTACAAGCCCTTTGTCATGGCTGGGAAGATACTAATAATCCCAATATATAGACAGAAATGTCAAGGCTCAAAAAATGCTACCTGAAAAGCTCCACAGTAAATCAGTA